CAGTTTACAAACAAGCTAATCCTTCAAGTGTCTCTGATAAGACATCTAAAAACGGTTTTCATGGTGAAACAAAATGGCCGATGTTTGAAAAAAAGTGCGACACTGAGTGGCAGATTTTTCTTTGCCTCGTCTGTCAACGCTTTCGTTCTTTTCTTCGCCATTGCGTTAGAAAAAAAATGTATTAGTAAAATTGACTTGGAAAATAAAACGATTTAAAAGAAAGTTGTGCAAAGTTACAGTACTCCTTTCGCACAACCTCCCGCCCGCTTCCGCTTTCCAATCACCTTTTTCTCTCGCTTTTGCGACCGCTTGTTGAATTCGACCGGAAAATTTCCGCTTTATTTTCGACCGCGCAAACCCCGAAATATCACCGCCCACCTGCTCGCTCGCGCGCATTTAAAATTCAGACTAACAGAATAATTTCCGAGGTTCACATTGTCTTATAATTGTCTTTCTGGTTTTTATAGATGTTGAACAGCTGACAAAAGTTCAAATACTTTTTGTTTTAACTATCTATAATTATATGCACGCAACCTGACCCCTTGACCTCGATTTGGCTTGGACTGAATATTTTATTTTAAACAATATTCTGACGCGAAATGCAAAATGTATTTCAACACAAGTACGACATGGTTGTCTGGGGTTTCTTTCCTGATTGTTGAGTCTTCGCAATGTGTTTTGTATAATTATTGTTGTTTTCCCCGATGCTGAAGGACCGTATAGCTAAATGGCAGTTACATGCATGAGCTGAGTGAAAGAAAATATTTCTAAGCCTAAAATAAAACCTAATATTACACCTCTTTGTGTATTTGTTAATTTTACATATGTTTGTCATGACAGTATGTTTGTAAATATCTAGAAAAATCTCGTCTTTCGTTGATAATTTCGATTGTTTGTTTGGAATGTTGATCCCCGTTGGTTTCTCCATACTGAGTTTAGGAAAGGCGTCGATCAACACCGTGACAATCATGGGGATCATGTCCGTAATTTGTGGGCTGAAACCCCAAATAATTAATCAAGTATTATTATTTTAATATATATTTTATTTCACATCGCAAAACTAAACCATGCCCAAAATAGAGCTAGAGTTGTTCGCGGTGAAACAACCGCATTGAAGACGATGCAACTTCAACTAGCCATTTCTTACCTTGAAATAAAAAAAATAAAAATTCGAAGAGCATCGGGGAAAATATTAATAATCATCCTTATCAATCGCTTGCTTTATTTTATTCGAATCCATGAAATTCACGATTTTTTTTTAACATTGTTGGCAACTTCCGCGCTAAAAAAGATTGAAAATGTGGGTGTGGTTATTTTGCAAAGTCCTGTTGATAATACGGACAAATATGGTTCTGTGACCCAGGTCGTGATCCGATCAGGTGACTCTCAGCCAATCAATGATGTTGTAACAAAGCATATTTGACGCTAATTGAAGGGTCGTTGTACAATCCAATCACCGGCGTCGATTCACATAGTTTTTTGTGCTGTGACAGGCTTCAAAATTATTCGCTGAAAAACATATATTTTGACAAACT